TCGTAGATCAGGATATATTTCCTATCAGGATTGAGGGATTTTGGAGCGAGGATTTTACTTTCGTTGATAAGGTTTAATAATTACCATAATGAGATGGGTGCTTAATTAAACTACCTTAATTAGTGGCAATTTTTTTATTTTTTTTTTGAAACATTAATTTATGGCAAGTTTGAACTACTGTGATTAATGGTCAAGCCGTTAGCCGTCTGACTTAATCACACGCGATCTGTCAGTGCAGATATGCATAAGGGAAATTTCAACCCTCGATCTCTATCTGTTTTCTTCTTTAATTTGATAATTGTATGAATTATTGGATAAATTTTTAAAACTTTCAGAATGCATGGCACTATAATTCAAAATCACGTGTTTATGTTTTATTAACAATTGTTTTTTTCTTATTTTATGTTTTGGTTTGTCGTGTCCGGTCCACCAATTATCTATCTCCAGCTAACCTACACGGTGTGAATGATGATGATCCTTTCATGTGCAAAATTGTCCTGGGCGGAGGAAGTTTAATTTGAATATTTTTGTTAATTTTTAATTATTTTATTTTATTCTAATATAATTGTGCATGTATATATTCATAGCATATCTGAGCAGTATAGCTCACTTTTTTTGAATTTCATGAACTTATCATTTAACAAGCTGACAAACAAATTCATAATGGGCAGTTGGTGTTTGGTAAGTCTTTGTTATAAAAGACTCCGTGCATTACAAAATCTTGAAATAATAAAATTCCATATCAATGTTTTAAACACATGAAATATATCGTTTATATATTATCAATTAATTAAATGTTGTTGATGATGAGGTATTGGGTTGATGAAAAACTTGAAGAATATTGGTTGGGTGTAACTGAGCTGAGGTGGGATTTAAAAAAATTATTTTCTATAAATTTAGGGGGAAAAGAAGTGGAAGGCTTAAATTATTATTTTTATATTATAATTTCTTTCAAGCCATAGATTATTTAACCGAACTCCCACACGTCACAGTTGCATTGGTCCTGTTTGGTAACATAATTAGCTTATCAATTATTTTTTGACTTATTTAATCATTATTAACTGTTTGACTTGGTTAAACAGACAATATAAGTGTTTGATTAATTAACTTTTTGTAACAGCTCATTGTTCTAAAACGTTAAAATTCAAAAAGTTACTTAAAATAATTTTTTTTATCGATCAACTTTTTGAAAAAGTCTTTTTGAATGTAATCAGCTATCAGCTAACAGCTAAGTTATCAAACGTTTCTCTAGAATAAGCTAATAATATCAATTAGTCAAAACTACTAACACAATCAGCTAACAGCTATTTACCAAACACCTCCTAAATCAATCTTTCTTTTAAACAATCATATAAGGTAACTGTCACCTATGGCGAATTTGCTTTGTATGACCGTTGCAGCGCAAATGGTATTAATTTTCAGTTGTCGTGCCTCCCAAGCAGTGTAGTCTTATTTGGAAGGAAGTGCAATCATTTTTAATTTCATTTTCAACGCCTCCACATTCATATATTGCTTTTTTTTTTTTTTTTTGAATGCTCATATATTGCTTATTTAATTTATTTATTTTTATTTTAACTATTGACTTATAGAATATTAGAATTCCCTTTATTTGCAGCAACACAAATAATCACAATATATTAAAATAAGCAAATTTTTGAATTTTCATTTCAAAGTATAACCAGGATTGCACATGCTCCTTGTAGATCAATTCTATAATATTTCACAAACCACACAAAAAAAAAATAAACTAATTAAGAAAACGCTATGCAATAAATTCAAATAAGAGAGTGTTAACACTCTCAATCGCCTAGGGCTCGCTGCAGGTCCCAATAGGCCGGTCAAGGAACAATAATTGAACTTGCAACCACAACCGAGTTGGTCAAACAGTTATCTTGATAACTACAAGGTTCCGAGTTCATTCAGTTCCCTAGGGGAGTTGTCTATTAACCTTATTGGTTTGGTCGGTCAGGGCGAGGTTCACCTTACTCTTCAAGTAGAAGTTGTGGACTTTCTTGTAATCATATATTACAAAATAATATAATTAAAATTATATATATTTTTTGAATATTACTCACTTTGTTACAATGTAGTATATGCTTATATCTACTTTCTCAACCTATTGAAGTACAAAGAGTTAATAATGTCCCCAAACTCAAACTCATGACGTCCCCATTTGGTATATAAAATCAATTTATATGGTATATAATTCTTATATCATGTCTGTCTTTGTAATCTTGGTAGTATATAATTTATTTTTTTTGTATAATTAACTTTTTGATGTTTTCATTATTATATATATTGATATTTTACTAAATATCTTAAGTTGTAAATTAATTTATTGGATTGAATTTAAATTAAAATAAGCTTCGAGTATTATTATTTAGGATAATGGCTGTTAATATTTTTTTTCTCAATTGAACGTATATTTTTCATGTAATTTACTTTTTTTTTTCAAATATTAAATTTATCAACCTTCAAAGTTATGTGAAAATGTTGACTAACGTAACAACACAACTTTTACATTTTACATATAAAAAGTAGGATGGACATCATGTGCAATTAACATCTGTCAGGTTTTTCTCATTAAATCTCCCCTAATTTTCTGGTATGCATGTGTTGTTTATTTATCATGGATAATCCTGAATTGGATATTTAGCTCCGCCTAATTTCCCTTATTTGTTAATATTCAACCTAATTAACTATTTAAGCTTGTATGGCTCTAATTAATTAACTAACCTATTTCGGGTGACAAATTAATTACTCCGTATATATAATTTCCGACTCTATCTAACCAACAATAAAGTAGCCAATATTTAGAGAAAAAAAAAGTTATTTGTACTTTTTTTTGGTCACATATTTCTTTATTTGTTGAACGTATGTCATAACATTAGGTAATCAATGACACGATTCTGAATAAAATTAATCACCGGTATATCAGTTTTTCCATATCCAAGTAAGAACACATGTTCATATAAAAAGTGCAAAATTAATTTCATACATCCATCTTAGTTAATCAAAACTTAAAAATTAAATAAAAATATTGTGATATTTTTGTAATTACAATGATGCATTATAAAGCATTTGATAGTGAATTTACACATAACTAATGAGTAAATACCAATTTTAGTCCCACGAATATTAACAAAATAACAATTTTGGTCCACATGTTTTAATTTATACCAAAACTCATCCCACAACTATTGTTTTACTACCAAAATTCGTCACTCCGATCACCGGAGAAATTAGGACACGCCATATTCTTAATATAATAAGGGTATTTTTATCACTTTGTAATTAAAATCAAACTATTTTTTAAATTGTCATTAAACTTAATATTGGCCAATATCATATCTAGAGTGAATTTTGTTAAATTTATAGTGGTGTTTATTATGTGAAATTTGTTCTAGTCTTCATGTTTATTATGTGAATTTTGTTCTTTCATGTTAGAATTTTGTTCTGCTTCCTGGTGGCATATTTGTGTATTTTCTTGTAAGCAAAAATCTATACCAATTGCTCAAACAGGACAAACAGACCATTAAATTTGCCATTGATCTTATCATCATTATTCATTTGGTTTTGTGTACAACCTGTTAGCGTGTTGGTGTCCAAGGAAGGTGATTCATCAATGCATCTTGTAAAATCATCTAATTTAGCTTACTCAAAAAAGCAGTGTTAGGAGGAATACTGCATGCTCCCTATTTTGAACACTTGTTGTCTCTGTTCATAGACAATTAACGGAGAATGGGATCGCAATTAATATATTTCGCTGGTCGGAATAATTTGATTAGGTTTCTTTTGCATTGGCAGATCAGGTTTAATTACAAGGCATTGCCCAATATTAGGTTTAATGGTAATTTAGAAAATAGTTTAATTTTAATTACAAAGTGACAAAAATATCCTTATTATTTTAAGAATCCGGTGTGTCCTAACCGCTTCGGTGACCGGAGTGATGAACTTTGGTAGTAAAACAATAGTTGTAAGATGAGTTTTTTTAAAAATTAAACACGTGGACCAAAAGTATCGTTTTCTAATACTCGTGGGACTATAATTGGAATTTACTCCATAACTAATATTGCACACCCATGCACTATTATAGAGTTTTCACATGCATTATTGTAATTCCATAAATGTTTATTTCTTTTATTAACTTTTATCCCTTAGAGCAACCTGAATGGATGTATGAATTTGTTCCGCACTTTTTCACATGGGACATATCAAAAAATCACAGTTTTTATCTAAGAGTGTTCATTAAGTAAATGAATGTTAGTTGAATCAAATTCGTGACTATTCAAATACAATTAAAAAAAAAAAATTAGACCCATATACTCACACTACATACATAGACTCCCAAATCATACTCCCTAAATTTTACTCCTTCATGTGGCAGGCACTGATATGCTATTTTTTTATGTGGATCCAAATACAAGTATCTACATTAAAATTTTGTATGTGAGAGTAAAAATAAGATTACATCTAATATTTTCCTTCCATATTATGAGCATATATATAAATGTCATAAGATGTGGACCAATTCAATCATTCAAACCCCTTCCCCAAGCCATTTCTTATAAGCTATAGAGTATATTCAAATCATATACAGAGGGGTACCAAGTCAAAGAAAGATCGAAACATATAAGAAGCTTCTGATGCATTAATTATTGGATTTATTGCCATTTTTTAATATTCCCATGTTTTCAAGCCCCCCTATGCAGATTTGACTATTCTGGCTTGGATCCAGTCTAGTCTTCAATAATAATCCCTCCCCAACACTCCATTCTTCATCGTAATATAAATAGCTTTGTCTTCCTCCTCCATCTCTCTCTATTCCAATCAGAATCAGGTCAATCCAAAACTAGTTTCAATTCAGACAACCTCAACATTCTTAATTTTGTGTTTTGCGGAATACCCTTTTGGCTTTTGTCAGTTCGTTGGTTATATATATACACATGTTCAATCCGTTTATTTGCGGCAGCTCTCATCTCCATGTTGACGAAGACGACATGGATGTTCTGAGCCCATGCTCGACTCCCAGGAGATCGAAGAAATCCGGGAGAGACAGCAACAACAACAAGAACCCGTACGCTAATCGCGGCCTCGACAAGTTTTCTGCTCTCCTGGCTGATCTCGAAGGCAAGAAACAGAAAATCTACACGCAGGTTGGGGCCGAGGATATCTCCATCGTCCGCTTCGTCTTTCCGGCCAACTCCGACGACGTTAAGCCGATCGTCGTCAAGTTTAAGGGGAAGAAAGAAAGCGCGGGGAGAGATGAAAATCATGCCGCGAAAACTGGGGGCTCGCCGGAGAAGGTGGAAGTTGAGAAGCGTGTAATGCAGTCATCGTCGAATGATCAGAAAGAGGAGAAGAAGCTTTCTAAGAGCGTTTCTTGGAAAGTGGATATGAAGTGGGAGGATTTGAAGAAGCCCAGATTTTACATGCCATTGACGATAGTATTGATTCTTGTTTTCTTGGCTATTTATGGAAGGACGTTTGCGATTTTGTGCACCTCTATTGGGTGGTACGTAATCCCGACCATTAAAGGTAAAAACTCGAGTTCGAGTTCGAGTTTCAATTCCAGAAATAAGCCACAAAGAAAGAAGGAATATACAAGAAGATTCAGTGAGAAAAATATTAGTACCCCAAAGAGAGATGGTTCAACTTCTCCAAAGAGTGTGTTAACTGGACATCATGCTCATAGGAAAAGCTTTTGAATATTAGCATCAAATCCTCAGCTCATCGCGAATCCGTCACGATCTAAGAATGACAATTTCATCCGAACTTGATCCAAATGAAGATTGAATTCGAGAGATGGTGATCAAGAGTATGCACCTCGTGCTCTTACTTCGTTGTCATTCTTATCATAATCACGTTTAAGGTTTTCATTTTTTTTTCCTTAAATGAATGTAGATTCTTAGTTTTGCTCATTTGTACATGTTGAGATAGACTGGGAATTCAGTCTAATATATGTTTTTCCTTTTAATTTAATGTAAATTACTACAATATGATGTATTAGTGCTGGTTCAACTATGGTAAGTTCAATGGACTCAAGAATTGTGCTGTTTTCAGGAAATATGATTTTTGGAAAAATTCAGCTGAATTGGTTATGACGATTAACTTCATAATTATAAAGTTTGGACTTCATTTGAACTGGTCAATTATGTGTAACATATACTAATATATCTTATTATCGTCTTCATCACCTAAAATATGTTTGCACTAATTATTTATGGTTCCAATTTAATAATGGTCCTTAACTTTTTAGTTGTTCACAATATGTTATATGTATGTTAGCTAGCACGCCATATTAGATTATTTTATTTATACATAATTATAGTTATTACCAAACACTTTTAATAATTCAATATTTAGATTGATGATATATAGTGCATCCACATTGCAACTTGTCATGTGTATAGTACGTCCGTATATTCTATGCTCTTTGTAAATGACATTTAATTTTCTTCTGGTTCACAATGCAACAACCTAGAAATGTACGTACAATTGACTTGTTCAATGCTAAATTTAACTTTATTATTTTTATTTTGCCAAAACTTTTGTTTATCCAATTAAAGAAACAAAACTATATAAATCATGGTTAAATTACTTCCACACAATTAGCAATAAAAAGTGATCTACCCTCACTTCGATCAACTAAGTAATTAAGGATGGATTTGCTATGAGTGCGCGGTTGAGGAGAGTTGGGTACAATAAGCCAGTAAAAGATTGGTAAACACCAATGTTTGATAAGTTGTAAAGGTATGATAAAACTAGTTTGGTACATAAATGATGAGCGATTATCCTCATACATTTGTAATATAATCCCAAAGGCCCGCAAGTCTCTAATCCTCAAAGCTAAACCATCCAATCAACATAGTAGTTTGTCCTTATGAACATAGACTCATCGTGCAATACCAACTTTGGAATAGCTCTCTAATAGTTTGGATGATGTTCAAATGAGTCCCAACATACTTGTTCGTTCTCTGCATAACCTTCACAATGGCCACTTATAACCATTTTACCAACTCAACCAAAGAGTATATACAATAAATGGCTATAGAGATCCACTCTCAAAATAATGTGCACAATGTATTCCATTTTTAATACTCAATTTGTCTCATTTTATCCGCCATACTTATTATTCGTTGATCAAATCAATTCTTTGTTCTTTGTTTATTTTTTTTAATATTTTTTACTTATTTTTAAATTTGATTTTTTGTGTTTAATAGTAATTTTAGTGTAGTTTCTAAATATATAAATTTTGCATACTAATACTAAACTTAAGATTATGAAAAATTGGATTAAAAATAACTTCAGTCAAACCTCATTAACCAAACCAGACACATAAAATGGGACGGAGGGAGTATATTTTTATCCACTCAAAATCAAATTAATTTCATTCACCAAATTTAACTTGTATTGCATAATGGGCAATTAAAAGGTTTGCAGTTTAGTGAGATTAAAATATTTGCAGCAAAAATTATTTATTATAAATTTATATTATTATAAAGTCAGTAGTACAGTAGTATTCAAAAAAATTGCAACAAATATTAGAGAAACTATGTTAATGTAGCTAGTATATCATTTATTATAAATTGTTGTTGTTGTTGTTATTATTATTATATTTTGAGTTAGACAATTATTACACTTGTGTATTTAATTTCAACCCTTATCCACTTCTGAGGTGTTAGGCATTTAAATAGGATTAGTTTCTAGAAATGAGAGAATAATTTAACTTTTGGAAATTTAGTACTGCATTTTCAAGAAATCATTACGAAGGCTACATCTCATATTCTCATCTATATCTATAGATCAGTGCATACAGACACAAATGTGTATGCAAGTGCTCATCGAATAAAATGTATAAACAAATTACATTGGCATGGTCTCGTTGTCAATGATGTCTGATATAGTACTTACATTATCTTTGATTTTGTCAAAAAGGAAAAAACAAATCATTTTCCACAACACCATATAATACATATTGATGGATTAGTTATGGATGGTTTCCAGTTCAGTCTCAGCTCACATTAAATAATCGACTAAACACAATTCGGCCAGTCTTGTATTGTGGGACGCGTCTATCTATGTTTAGAAGAAATAGTTAGATTGTTTTTTTTTAAATTTTTTTTGGAATCTAAAGGGTTATATTTCTTTTTGTTTTAGACAATTAATTTATAATTAATAATACATGATTAGTGACATTTACTTTCATAACTTAGGTTGAATACCTTATTCAATTCGTTGAATTTTTAAATATCATGAAACAAGTCAGTGTGATTTCTTTTGATCTCCTTAACAAATTCTTTATTTTATATCGATAGTGTTAGTCAGCCTCAACCACAATGCTTGGGTCCTAAAACCAACACATATTATTTGATTTTTTTTTAGTAAAATTAGTATTTTCCCAGAAATATAGTGACTAATTTAGTTACTTGAAAATAATAAGACTATAATTTAATTATGTTCAAATCTTTTAACTTCCTAGTTTTTGACGTAAGCCGGCGCCGGCACGGCGAGGTCACTTTCCGGCTCCATCTTAATTCAATCGCTTCATTCTACATTCAAACCGCGTGTCTTTTCGAGTTATCATCACAATTACAATTCAGATTGAATAATCCACATCGGATCAGGTTTGAACATTATTATACACAGAATCAAGCAGATTAACTGATTAAGCGTCTCACCTTCTTCGCGTTCAGCAATGTATTATTATTATTATTATTATTATTATTATTATTATTACAAAATCGTTTTGTATTTTAAATAGTTAAAATTACAAATAATTTAATAATGGTTAAATAAAAAATAATAATATACTTATATAGTTATATTCTTAAAAAAAAAAAAAAAAAAAAAAAAAAAAAAAAAAAAAAAAAAAAGGAATAAGGGTCAAATAAGCCACCGAACTATACACAAAAATGCAATTAGGCCACTGAACTCAAAAAACATGCAATTGGGTCCCTGAACAACGCAAAATGTTACAATTGGATCCAAAAGTGACTTGCTTACCTGAAGTGAAGGTTATTTATTAAAATAATAATTTTTTTATTTTATTAATAATTATAAATAACAAAATTATTTAAAAAAAAAAAAAAAAAAAAAAAAAAAAAAAAAAACCTTCGACTCCTTGCCGGAGAAAAAGGGACGAAGGGATTCCATCGTCTCCAGGCCGGAGACGAAGGGGTTCCTTCGCCTCCAGGCCGGAGACGAAGGTGTTCCTTCGTCTCCAGGCCGGAGACGAAGGGGTCCCTTCACCTCCGGCAGCCTGGAGACGAAGAGGTTTCTTCGTCTCCAGGCTGCCGGAGACGAAGATCCATTCTTCGTCCGGCGACCTAGAGACGACGAAGACGTTGTTTTTTTTTTTTTTTTTTTTTTAAATAGTTAATAAATAAGAAATTATTATTTTAATTACATAACCTCTACTTCAAGTAATCAGGTCATTTTGGGTTCAATTGCATTATTTTGCGTTGTTCAGGGACCTAATTGCATGTTTTTCGAGTTCAATGGTCTTAGTGCATTTTCTAGTGTAGTTCGATGGCCAATTTGACCCTTATTCCAAAAAAAAAAATAATAATTAATGACTCAAATTTTAAAATTAATATTAAGAATTCATACCTCTTAATATATTTAAAACTTAAAATAACATAATAAACTCATACCCTTAAATGTCATTTTACATGTAAACAACCCCAATATATTTTTGAAAAGATTAAATATAACTTTTAAAATGTTAAACAAACTACAATATATTTTATTTAAAAGAAATTCTGCATTAAAATAAGCTGCTTAAATTTTTTATATTTATCATATAATTTGATGTTATGTTAGTTACCATTTCAAATTGGTGGTCATAAGTTCAAACCCCAATAGTGTAGGCTGAAAATGTTTGATAAAATATAGAACAAATCACTGTTGCAAAAATCGGCGCCTAGACGCTACGCTCCCGGCCTCCTAGACGGCTCTGGGCGCCTAACGATTTTTTCAATATTAGAACAAATACTTATGTGTAATAAAGAATATGAGTATTTAAAAAATATTATAATTGAATGTTTCAAATCAAGACCTTTAATAAATATATCTTATAGAAAGTCAAATTAAAATTGTTGTGATTATCAAGCTCATAAAATATTACGGAGTATCAAAAAAAAAAAGAAATCATAAAATTGGGCTGGATTGCCACTAACACATAACTATACTTCCAACAAGTGTATTCCTAGGTAATCCACTCTGTGTTACTTTACAAAAAGGCAACAAAAGGGGCATTTATTGACTTCTCTGCAAGGGCCAAGGAGGAGGTCCTTTCCTTCCTTGTAGTTTAGGATTCAAGGCTAGAAGTTGGTTATAGTAACGTGATAGATTAGCGGTTAAGAAAGCGGGCGAAGGGCGAGGAAGGAAGAGAAAGATGGGTTGCTTCGATTGCTTCGATGGAGGAGCAAAGAGGGAGCAAAGGAAAGAAGCGGAACGATTAGCTTCAGAGGAAGCTCGTGCCAGAGCCGCCGAAGCTGCCCAGAAAAGGTAAATCTCCTGCCTTTGAATTGCGGAAATTATTGGATCTATCAACCCTCGCTTGAAAAATCTCATCTTTCCAATCTGATTTTATGACTGCTATATGAATCAGAAAACAATCTCTATAAATGTCTGCAATAATCAATGGTGCTTCATTTGTGTATTTGATTTTGATTTTTTTTTTCTGTTTGAAACTATAGCTTATATAAATTATTGACTGTGTATATAAACCCTTGAAATCTCGACTGGATATATGTCTTTTGTACAGCTGAGAGGTTGAGGATTTAACCGGTGAGGCCCTTACCTACCTCAATTTGATACATTAGAAAATTTAAAAACTGAAACTTTGCAACATTGGTGGCACCATTTCAAACCTAAACTCCTGTTATGAAGCTCTTTGGAATTGCATATTTAACTGCCCTGCAACTCTTTGCATACTACTGATATTAGGTTTAATGAAATGTGTCGATTGGTTTATGGGATCACATTTCAAAAGGTCGAGAATTCTTCTGTTCAGATGTGTAGCTGTGTAGGCATATGAATTTATGATGAAAAGGCTATAATGAACATTAATTGTACTGTGCCCTAATGTTACATCAGAGGAAAGTCGTATTGACCGGAAGTTATTGATTGACTTCTTATATTATGCCCTTCCTTGCAGACAAGAGCAGTTTGAACAATCTGCTGCTGGAAGAGCTGCACGTGCCCAGATGGAAGCAATGGCCAAACAGTCTGCAAATCCTAACAAAGGAGAACCTGCTCTCAAGGTACTCGTTAACTTTGTTATTCTTCCTTGATTCTATGTCAGCTTGCCATTTGGCTTTGTTGTGCTGTTTTTCTTTTTTGAGTTAAATCATTTTCATTGTACATTTCTACTTTCTTCTTCCTTTTCTTGACCTCAAGGTACTCTTTCGTTCTTGTTATTATTCTTCACTGGTATTCCGTGGTTCTATGGGAGATTACCACGTCACTTTGTTGCATTTTGTCCATTTTTAATTTTCTTGTTCTCAACCCTTGATCATTGCTCGGGTTTGATAGTGTTGTCTTCAAATTGCAGTGGCAGATGGGGTGAAGATCTCGAAGGCTGACTCATGCTATACACTGCAAGTATGTATAATGAAGGTAGTGCTGTTTGAGTTGCATATTATATGCTCAAAGCCTTTTCGAATCAATCCTTACACTATGCATTCTTTGTATCTATACATAAATTGACATCAAAAGTTATAAGCCAACTATGGATGATGAATCCTTTGTTGAAATGGTATATATTATGGGTATATTCTCTACCTTCTTTGTGCAACTGCCAAAATCTGGTCTTGGAGAATGACTCCATTATTCTTTGTTCATTATTTCTTCTCTTTTCATCCTCTGCAGCCCTCATGGATGATGAACCACGTAGTCTTTGACAGTAAGTCCCAATTGAAAAGCAATTTTATTGAAGTTGCAGATGTGTGTGTGGTAGCTCTGTCATGAACTCATCTCTTACTCGGATAGAATGATGCAAGCATTCCTTCCATCCTTTGCATTTATAATTGTTAAATCATGGACGAGGTCCATCATGCGCTATGCATTGTGAATCCAGTTCACTATGTACCTTTAGTTAACTGAGATTATGTACGGTAATGTATTTTGTACTTGCAATTTATTTACAGGTACATAATCTCTTAACTAAAGATACATAATAATATGTTAATTGCATGGATATAATCTGGATCAAAGTTCACAATGCGTATTGTCCGCACTATAGTTTGTGTTGCATATAAGAGTACATCATGGTAATTGGGTTAGTCATAATGGATTTTATGGATTTAGGATTTTGGGCTTTCCTTGATGTCATCATAAGATAATCTAAGACAAGCATCATGGTAGTTGGACTAGGCATAATGGACTTTATGGATTTGGGCTTTCCTTGAAAACATCATAGGATAATCTAGGACAAACACCAATTAATTGGCAAATTATATAGTAGACAAGGGTTCACTATAAGTAGGAGTGACCACGGTTTCGGTTCTGGTTCTGCAAATGGCCAAATCAGAATCGGAACCTTATAGTAAAGTTTCGGTTCGGGTTAGAACCGGCGGTTCTAATTGGATTTATTAAAATAATAATAATAATAATAATATTTTTGGCCAATGGCCATGCTATTGGCGCCCGTGGCCGGCTGGCCTAGTTTTCAAATTTCAACTTTAATTTTTTTTTTTTTTTTTTTTTTTTGATTTGGAACCAGAACCATGCAGACGGTTCAATTCTGGTTCCGATTCAATAGTTCCGTGGTCATGCTTAACTATAAGCATGGTCATGCTTAACTATAAGCATTATGAATTCTAATTGAGATTATGTATATGAAGTTACCAGTTGTGTGGACCACGGTTCACACAATAATTTGCGACTACGAAGTGACTAGGTAGTGTTTGGGGTTGTGTTTTTGTTAAGTTTGAGGTAGAAGCCCAGAGTTTGTCGACAGTCAAAGTAAACGGAAACCATGTTCATAGGTCCAGAAATCTCTCTCCGCTCAACACTATCTCGCTGGAAATCTGCAAAAACCATAATCTGACCTCCAATTTTTCTATTGCCATATCGCTGCGAAGTAGATCCTTTAAATCATGTAATATTTCAACACTTCAACATCGCAGATTCTAGAAGCCATCACAGGTGGAAATCTAGTACCCTACCCATTTATTTATATTTATAGTAATAATTATCGTATCCTCATCTCGCATTTGAAGACGTCTATGAATCCGTCATAGTAATAATTATGTCCGGCGGGACGGCCTATGAATCCGTCATAGTTTGTCATTTACTATAAAGTACGAGATTATACACCGCTAAAGATAATTTGAAACATGCAATTAATGTCGATCTGCGATTTCCGATCAATTATTTTGGGCATCAATATCTCCACCTAATCCATCCATCATCCATCAATGAACTCCGTCCATCACTATATATAGATATGTCAAAAAAGTAAATTATTGATTGAGTCAACTCTATATCTTAAGACTTTGAGCCGTCCAGTCTTTTTTCCATCGTCATTATCAATTGGCCTCAAAGTAGGGACCAAAAAAGCAAAGAAAAAAAAATCTATATAGATTTTTAGATGTTAGTTTTTTCAAATCTAATTTAAGAATTATATAAAAATTAATAATATGCTTTTGTGTTTTACATGTGATGGGGGCCTAGGAGTTAGGACATGGTAGATTAAGAGTGGACCCAACAAAATCATCAATAGAGATCTATAATCACCACTTAAAACTAATTTAGATTTGGTCTGTCTCATAACCCAAAAAATTACAAAGACATAAATCAATCTAAATTAAACCGATTTAGATTATCATTATCCATAGTTAAACTGTTCTCTTCAAATTAAAAACTAATTGTTGAACCAACTTGACTTGAGATTCTATTGCTATTTTGTAATTATTATGCCGCCCTAAACGAAAATTGGTCGGTTCAACCGTGCCTATGGGCTATTATCAATTAGATTTAGATTCACACACATATATAAAAGAAAAACCAGTAAGCCAACAACCAACCAAATTGTGAACTGTTATAGATCCAAACGCTGTTACTTTTGTGCTTAGTCTTCTTCTTCTTCTTCTTCCTTAGTGTGAAATGGAGAGCAAGATGTTGTGGTACCCATCGCAACAAATGGATCCAAAGATATGGAGCCGTATGCCTGAAGATCTACTGGAACGTGTGCTTTCATTTCTTCCATTGAAGACCTTCTTGAGCTTGAGATCAACTTGCAGACACTTCAACTCCCTCGTCTTCTCCCCTCCCTTCATCTCCAAATACTCTCCATCTTCTTCACCTTCTTCCTCTGGCTTTTCCTCGTTTTTCTTGCTTTCCCACCCGCAGTTTTCCCGGAAATACCCTCTGTTCGACACCGTCCACAACAACTGGCGCAACCTGTCGGTCTCCCTCTCCGCCGCGCAGCCGCCGTGCGGCTCCTCCTCCGCTCTGCTCTCCTCCTCCAATGGCCTCCTCTGTTTCTCTCACCCAACCTCAAACTCCTTCGTTATATCCAATCTGTTATCGCGCTCTTCCAGGCTCGTCAAGTTCCCGGCTTTGCCCTTCTCCTTCGACTCAATCACGCTCGTCTCCATGCCCAGCGGTAATTACAAGATCCTCGTCATCAAATCCTCCATGGGATCCTCAAAGACAACCTTCGTCTACGACTCCTCGTTTCATTCCTGGGAAAAGTCCGAGGATTTCGACCTCATCTTCAGCAATTACATTCACCACCAAGAAGGCGTTCCCCATCAGGGCTCCTTATATTTCATCACCCCCGAGCCTTTCCACGTTCTCTGCTTCGATTTCCAGACCGGGAAGTGGCGGAGGGCCGCCATTGATCTCCCCGCCGACCTGTCGTTCGCGCGGCTAGTGAGCGACGGGGACGGGAAGCTATTCCTGATCGGCGGGATCGGGAGGAATGGGATTTCGAGGAGCATGAAAGTGTGGGAGTGGAACGAAGATGAGGAGAGGTGGATGGATGTGGAAGACGTGCCGGAAATGATGTGCAAGAAGTTTTTGTCGGTGTGTTACCATAACTATGAACATGTTTATTGTTTCTGGCATCAAGGATTGGTCTGCGTTTGCTGCTACACATGGCCGGAGATCTTGTACTTTAAGGTTTCGAGGAAGACGTGGCATTGGCTCCCCAAATGTCCCTCCTTGCCGCTCAAATGGAGCTGTGGATTCAAGTGGTTTTCCTTTGTTCCTGACCTATATTCCTTTGTTTAGCTCTTTTAATTAATTTGCAGTTTTGCTTACAGTAAATCCAAATTCGTCTACAGGGTTAGCTCCCTCCACACATACATAAAGTGTTAATTTTTTTGCAGTTATATTAACAAATTGTTTGGTGTGAGCAGTTTTTTAAATTTTAACGTTTTAGAGCAATAAGCTGTTACAAAAAATTAATTAATGAAATACTTATATTGGTTGTTTAAGGAAGTCAAACTGCTAATAGGGTCAAATAAATCAAAATTAGCTGATAAACTAACTATGTTACCAAACAGGACAAACAAATGCAAATAAATACAAAGAAAAAGGGAACAGCGGTCTGCCAATGCTGTAGGCGAAACTCCAGTCTTGTATAAATCATTCTTAAACTCTGATCCGAATAGCGTTTCAAGAATTGCAATCAAAGGTCAAATTTGGATGTATCTTAGTTATCAATCAATTTCTATTATTTATTTGTTTTATTGTCTCAAAAAAAATTCATAATCATGTGAAACGTACTCGAAAAAAGTACTAAAAATAATTATTTATTTGTTTTGTATGGCCAACGCATATTTTTGTTGGATAGAAGTAATGATAAAAATATATTTAAAAAATGACAACTTTTATTCCCAAACCACAAAGTTGCCACTGACTTTTCAAAATGGAAGTTTGTGGTCAAAAGCGAGGACATCCATCGACTTGGACTAAAATTATAAGTGAAAAGAAATCAAACTAGATAACATTTGATATATCGTTGATGTTACATAAAATAATACTTTTTAATTAAAAAAATGTAATATCTAGATCTAAAGCATTATATTTCATTAAAAAATTACTATATTTTAAGTAATACTTTATACTTGTCAAGAAACAAGTAATACTCTCAAAGACAATATAATACTTATTAACTCATTAAAAAATATCATTCCATCTGTCCTGTTTTACCTGTTTACTATTTATTGGTTAAACTATTTTTTTTATTTTACTTATTTTATTTACTATCTAATAAGTATTTTTAAATTTCATTTATTTTTGTATTTTATATTACTTTTAATGTACTTTTTAAATATATAAATTTTATATATTAATACTAAAGTCAATATTATGAAAAATTGAATTCAAAATAATGTTAGTCAGGTCTCATTAATCTAATCTGACACATGAAATAGAAATGATGGAATATATTATTACTAAAAAGTATTACATATTTGATATTTGTTTCACGTAAAATGATTCTTCTTTATTTCTGAAATCCAGTCATTTGTTTATTGTGTGTGGAAAAAATGCTACAAACTTACCAAGCAGTGTTTTTGACTTCCATGTGGCATTTTTGAAAACCAGAAAGCTCATATATTAATCATGCAAACCAGAGAAGTCTACACTAACAGAGGAGGAAACGAAATGGGGAATGAAATCAAAATACTCAAGCACCCCTTCCCCCGAACTTCCATGTGGCATTTTAGAAATACAAATCCAAAATAGTGCAAGTGGGCGATTTGTGGTAAGAAATACAAACCCAAAATAGTGCAAGTGGGCGATTTTCCCTATCAACGTTTGCGCCAAAAGAAAAAAAAAACAATAATTCTAATAATAATATGAATAAATACCCAAAATGGTCCCTCGACTATAGCTAAATTCACAAATTAGTCCGCAACTTTCAATTTCAACCAATTAAGTCTTTAATTTTGTAATTTTAACATAATTTGGTCATCGATCTATTTGACCGTTTGTTGACTGCGATTTTTGAAGATATATATGTAATTTCATGGTCCATCGTCAATTTTTTAAGGTTCTGGTTGCATTTCCAGACCACACTGTTACATTTGAATCCACTGCCGAAAGCAATCTACCAAATCCGGTTGCCTTTCTTTATCCTCTCTTTGGATCCAATGTAGTTGAGTTCGTACCAGAACAAAGAAGACGACGTGTTTCCGAACCAGTGCAACGTCATCCTGGAGGTCTCCACGTGCTCCGACAAGAGCTGAAGGTTCTTCTAGAGATCGTCGATCACGGTCAACAAACGGTCAAATAAATGGAGGACCAAATCGTGTCAAAATTACAAAGTTAAGGACTTAATTGGATAAAATTGAAAATCGAAGACCAATTTGTGAATTTAGCTATAGTCGAGGGACCATTTTAGATATTTACTCTAATAATATCGTAACATAGTTGACTTCTCCTTAGATCACCATCACAAATAGGCTAAGCTGATTGTAATAGAAATTGGCATATTCTTATATTTGGAGTTGTAAACTATATTTGTTATTATGACATGAAAGCGAGGAGCTAATCAATCATTTTCTACTCTCAAGATAATGGGATTTTTGGTAAAATAGTTGGACTACCAGCTAATTTTGATCTGTTTGATCACTATTAGTTGTTTAACTTGGTTAAACAAGTAATATGAATGTTTGATTAATTAGTTTTTTTAAATAACTTAGTGCTCCAAAACACTAAAATGCATAAAACATCTTTTTCAATTAGCTTTTTGAGAAAGTCATTTTGTATGTAATCAACTATCAGTTAATAGCTAACTTACCAAACATCTTTCTGCAATCAGCTAATGCTATCAACTAGTGAAACTCACTAACCCAATCAGCTAACAATTATATACCAAACACCCTAAATCTAAAATTATATACAAGTTAATGATAGATAAAATTGTACTATGTCCTTGTAATCAATTGTAGGGCATATACACTTACAAATTCGTTCGGATTATGATATTTTATAAGTTTACATTTTTTTATTAATTATTTATTTAATCGTGTAATGTATGATGTGTTGGTCTTTTTGCTCTTTTGATGACCCAAATGGCAAAATGCTGTATCGCTCTTGAATGGGCTTTACTTTCTCTCTGGCCCGCTCTATAGAGTTGTGCTGAATAAATGTGTGTAGTCAGCCCAATCCAATAAGCGACCTAAATTGGGCTTTGTCCAACTACGGTACGCTGTCTGCAATCGTTATGCTGTGCATCCGCATGGTGCATACGGATGCCAAAACGACGTCGTTTTATTAAAAAATACGCGTCTCTCCTTTTAAAAAAAAAAATCATGTTCGATTCCCAGCAACAACATTATATTGTTCATTCATTCTGGAATTTTAGTTCATAGATTATGAAATTATAGTTCATTGATTATGGAATTATAGTTCATCGATTATGGAATTGTAGTTCACCGATTCTGAAATTTTAGTTTATAGATTATGGAATTTTAGTTCATTCATTCTGGAATTTTTAGTTCATAGATTAGATTATGGAATTATAGTTCATCGATTATGGAATTTTAGTTCATATGTTGTTGCTGGGAATCGAACCTGATTTTTTTTTTTTAAGGGGAGACGCGCGTTTTATTAAAACGACGTCGTTTTGGCATCCGTATGCACGGATGCACAGCATAATTTACCCGTTGTCTGATGGAGAAATGGATCAGATTATCTGCGTAAACTATCGACGCTTACTATGTTTGAGTTTGCCCTGTTTGATAAATGATTATTAGCTGATAGTTGTTAGTTGTTAGTTGATTGGATTAATTAGAGGATATAACTGGCTGATAACATTGGCTGATTGTAGAAAAATATTTGGTAAATTAGTTGTTTGGTATAGTTTATTTTTTCTCAAAAAACTAATTGAAAAAGTTACTTTGATCACATTTTTGAATTTTAGCATTTTAGAGTTGATTTTAGGGAAAAGGGTCAAATAAACTCCTAAACTTTAGCTAAAAAGGACAATTAAACCCCTGAACTTTAAAAATGAGCAATTAAACACTTAAACTTATCAAAATGAATCGATAAAGCCCATGAACCAGTAAATGACCTGTTATAACAGGTCATTTTAATTCCAGTTAAAAAAATCAAGTTGTCACCGGTCGCCATCTACGGCGGAAGGCAACCAACTGGCCGCCTTCTGCTGGGGAAGGCGGCGACCAACTGGCCGCCTTTCGCTGGAGAAGACGACCATATATGGTCGCTTTCTCCACAAGGCGACCGGATTGGTCGCTTTTCCACTGGAAGTTGGTTTTAATGGTGGTCAAAGGTGGTCAACGTGATGTTATGGTAAATCTGACTTATTTGATAAGTTTAAGTGTTTAATTACTTTTTTTTTTTTAAGTTCAGGGACCTAATTGTCCTTTTGGCTAAAGTTTTGGGACCTATTTGACCATTTCCCCTTGATTTTATAACCAAATTAAACAATTATTAGTGGTCAAATAAGCAAAAATTGACTGATAAACTAATATTTTACCAAACACGGCCTTTGTCTTACAATGATGCAATCTGTTTGTCTTAATCACCACGCACTCACTATTTAAAAGTGTGAATTGAATCAAATTTTGTTATTATATAATAATCTGCAAACCATAGAAAAGATATATAATCGACTCGATGGAAAGAGTGTTAACAAGAATCAAATTCGTGATCTTCTGTAATAAGAATTATGTTTCACCTGCATATGCAATTTGTGTTGAATATATAAAAGCCTACAGCCGTCATACACGACTTTGCTACGTAAACCCTGCCTAAATTCCTCCCTTCTTCTACGTCAATTGGGAAAATGATGTACATATATGCAACGTTTTCCGTCGGACAAGGACAACAGACGACATAGGAAACGAAATCTCTTAATAGTGCGTTTGATTGAAGGGAATTTAAATTTTCTTTCCACCTAATTTCAAAGGTTACAAAATTTCCTTGTTTGGTTGAAAGGAATTGCAATTTCATAGAATTAAAATTTCATGTCCCCCTCAAATTTTAATTCCTGAGATTTAGAAAGAAAAAAAAGATAAGTGATGAGTCAAAATTATCCATTCCTTTTTTAACTTAAAATTAATGCCTAACAACAATAATGGACATTTTTTATTTTATACTACTTATTCCCTTTCAATTTCCATGTATATCAAACATTGGAATTAAAATTTCCAGTAATTCTATTCCTGTAAACCAAACAATAGAATTTAAATTCATACTTTATTCCTAGTAATTCTTCTCACATGGAATTACAATTCATTTCCTACGTAATTTTTCCTCTCCAACCAAACGCCCTGTAATTATGATTTTAATTCTTATTCTTTAGGTGTAAATTCATAAACCAAACACACCCCAATGAATTTAGAGAAGAT